ACAAGTTTGATTTTGTATGTGTTGCCTTTGCACTACTTGAGAGGCATTCAGATGTAAGGCAGATATCAAGGAAACATTTAGAAATGCAGTCATCCCTCTGTATCCAGGGGAATTGGTCCAAGAACTCTCCAGGGATACCAAACTCTGGATACTCAAGTTCTTTATATAAAATGGTATAGTATTTGCATATAACTGATGCACATCCTCCTACACACTTTATTTATTTATTTATTTGAGGTAGGGTTTCACTCTGTTGCCCTGACTAGAGTGCAGTGGCATCATCATAGCTCACTGCAATCTCAAATTCCTCAAGTGGTCCTCCTTTCTCAGCCTCCTGAGTAGCTGGGACTAGAGGAGCTTGCCACAATGCCCAGTACATTTTTCTATTTCTGATAGAGACTTCTTTTCTTTTCTTTTTTTGAGATAAGAGTCTCAACTCTGTGCCTTCAGTAGAATGCCGTGGCGTCACAGCTCACAGTAACCTCAAACTCTTGGGCTAAAGTGAACCTCTATGCTCAGCCTCCCAAGTATGTGTGATGGCAGGTGCCTGCCACAATGCCCAGCTAGTAATTTTCTATTTTTAGCAAGATGAGGGTCTTGCTCTTGTTCAAGCTGGTCTCAAACTCCAGAGCTCAGGTGATCCTACTACCTTGGCCTCCCAGTGTAGGATTATAGGCATGAGCCAGCAAACCTGGCCCCTCTTGTGTATTAGATCATTATAATAGCTAGTACAGTATAGATCAGTGGTTCTCAACCTTCCTAATGCCTCCTAATGCCACGACTCTTTAATATAGTTCCTCATGTTGTGGTGACCCCAACCATAAAATTATTTTCGTTGCTACTTCATAACTATAATTTTGCTACTGTTATGAATCATAATGTAAATATCTGATATGCAGGATGTGTTTTCATTGTTACAAAGGGGTCATGACCCACAGGTTGAGAATCACTGGTATAGATGTTATTAAAGTAGTTGTTGTTGCTCAGCACCTATAGCTCAAGCAGCTAAAGCGCCAGCCACATACACTAGAGCTGGCAGGTTTGAATCCAGCCCGGGCACGCCAAACAACTACAACTACCACCAAAACATAGCTGGGCATTGTGGCGGGCGCTATAGTCCCAGCTACTCGGGAGGCTGAGGCAAGAGAATTGCTTAAGCCCAGGAGTTGGAGGTTGCTCTGAGCTGTGATGCCATGGCACTCTACCCAGGGCAACAGCTCGAGGCTTTGTCTCAAAAAAATAAAAATGAATAAAATAAAATAGTTGTTATATTTTCTGTATTTTTTATTGTTATATTGTTATTTTAAAATATTTTTTAAAAATATTTTTGATCTGTGCTTGGTTGAATTCCCAGATGCAAAACCCACAGATACAGAGGGCCAACTGTACAGGTCTAGAACTCAGAATAGAGGTCCAGGCTGAAAGTGATTTGAAGATGAAAGAGGTGGCATTTGTGCAGAGAAAAGTATACTTTGGGCCCAGACTTGCCAGGAAGGGAATCCTCTGCTCTTATTTGCACTTTGTGGTGTGGAAAAGTCTCTTAAGCTCTTCCTTTGGCCTCAGTCTCCTCAATAGTGGAGTAATGGCTACCTTACAGATCTGACACGGGACTAGAAAAATACATATGACATACTTAGTATATTATTTGATAATAACCAGTAAATATCAGCAGGCTAGCTGGGAGTTACAGATTATTTTTTTAATTCATTTTTCAACTCCTAGTCCCACCTCTGCATCAGGTACTGAGAATCCAAGTGAACTAGATAGACATTTCCCTAAGAAACTGCCTTTCTAAATACAGAGGGGTTAAAGTCAAAGATAGGCCACTCACTGAGAATGTCAGAATTCCTTGATCTTGCAAATATTTTTTGAGTACCTACTGTGTGGTGAGTATTGTTCTAAGTGTTGGGAAATAGTGAGGACAGAGAGGCAAGGCCACTGCTCCTAGAGGGCAGTCACGTCAGTGGAAGAAGATGAACAAATGCAAGAATAAAAAATGATAAATGCTGGAAGGAGTTAAAAGGATGTGATAGGCTGTGGGCCTGTGTTTGACTTAATGATAAGGGATACCTTCTCTTAGACAGTGAGGCTTAAGTTGAGGAGAATGTCAGGAAGGAAAGTGCTAGCTATGCAAAGACATAGGGGAAGAATATTCTAGATATCAGGAGTGTTCAGGGACAGAAAATCCAGCACATGGTGTACGAGGTGAGTCAGCCTGAGAGGAATGGGAGAGGTTGACAGAATTTTCAGCCAGCAGAATTCTCAGTAAGGGCATGATACCAGATTCATACTTTATGAATAGTCCTTTTGCTTGCACTATGGAGAATTAATTGAAGGATGGCAAGAATAGAAGCATGGAGGCTCGGTGCCTGTAGCTCAGCAGCTAGGGCCTCAGCCACTTGCACCAGGGCTGGTGAGTTTGAACCAGGCTTGGGCCAGCTAAACAACATTCACAACTACAACAAAAAAATAGCTGGGTGTTGTGGCAGGCACCTGTAGTCCCAGCTACTTGAGAGGCTGAGGCAAGAGAAATCACTTAAGCCCTAGAGTTTTGAGGTTGCTGTGAGCTGTGATGCCACGGCACTATACTTAGGGTGACAGCTTGAGACTCTGTCTCCAAAAAAAAAGGAAAAAAAAAGAATAGAAGCATGGAGACACGTCAGGAGGCCTTTCAGTAGGGTAGAGTAATAGTGGAGAAAGATGTAGAATGATTCAGGTTGTATTTTGGACTAGACATGTCTGCTCTCAGGAATGGACTCCAGCAGATGGGTTTTGTCTGGTAGCAATGTATAATTGAGTTTGGGTGGCTTCATGTGAAGCCTGTAATTTTCAGCTGACCTCTGTCTTTATTGTCCTATTTTTTGACAGTGTATATGCCTGAAAGCATTTGTGTTTGTGATCTCTAGTTTGTAAGAGTAAAGTGTGATGTAAATCCTGAGAGCTGAGAACCTGAGATACTCTACTCTGAGCAGTAGGCGGATGAGCATGTCAGCTCAGGTGTGCTCACAGTACCCGTGGAGTGTCAGCTCAGGGTACTCGCAGTGCCCGTGGAGTGTCAGCTCAGGGTGCTCGCAGTGCCCGTGGAGTGTCAGCTCAGGTGTGCTCGCAGT